AAAAGAGCAGCAAGAACATTCTTCGTAACTTGACTTTTTGTGTTTCACAGAAGAAAGAAACTCCTACATTACATGATAGTGAGTAAATGAAGACAGAATATTAATTTCAGGATTAATTGCCCTTCAAACTCCTGGATTGCCACAGCACTAACATGTTGAAACACCCAAACACACAGCCGCATGATGAACCTCAACCCGAGGGGAACAGTTACATCAAAAAGAAGTTAAGTGTGTTTTGAATGCATGTATGCCTCAAGCACTACAACAATATAGTCAAATGAGCTAAAACAGTACACACAATCATGCTAGAATGAGAGAATATAGTGTGTGAGCTACCTATACAGTACTATGAATCTCACTTTTTTGTCATCTCTCCAGAAATGACTCCTGGTAGGAATGTTTTTGACACATGCACACTCTCTCCGCATGCTTAAATTTTATCTGGCTAAATGGCCCACTGTTAAGTATTTACCCTAAAACTGTCTCCATTTGCTGTGGAGGTGACATCAGAACAAAACAGAAGGAGTATCTGCTGGCATTATAATTTCATAACGCCACATAAAACGTGTTGTTTGTCGCCTTTAAAATGCAGCACTTTTATGAATAATGCAGCTCTCGATTTCAAGAGGAAACACTTAGAAGTTGGATTCATAAAAAATAAATCACCAAGTTTGGTTTTTTCCTCTGTGATCATAAGAGGAACCGTTAAAAAGTTAAGTGCCGCCACAGTAAATGAAACAAGCTCATCAAACACAATGCTAGATTGTTAGCCGCAGCGCTAGTGAGAGGAAAGGCACTTTCTCAGTTTCTTTGTAACTGCTGGATTATAGGGTCTATTTAGACTCTAATTAGTGTTCATTTCATGAGTTTCCAGTCTTAAATGTGTATTAATGTAATGACAGAGGACGTGTTTGTTTTTAGGCATCTAAGTGGAGAGGCTTAATACAGGCTAGCTAAATTAGCACATCCATTCTGACAAGTACTCTAATAACCACTGCGGATTAATTTATGACCCTGTTTGGGAGCACAGAGCTCATGGCCACTGGTGCTCTGGTGGACCAAACTCACTGTAGTTAAGGCTCTGAGAGGCTTTAGCTTCTGAACTGCTGGCCGTTGCTGCCTGCTTCCGTGTATATTATTAGGTTAATAGGATTTCACTTGTTTACACCAACTGTTAGCTTAACTTGAGGTCAAAGAGGTGGCTTAAACTTGTGTAATTGGCTTATTAAGAAGGCTCAAGTAGCGTTGTAGTGAGGGGTTAAAACACACACACACACACACACACACACACACACACACACACACACACACACACACACACACACAGACACAGGCGGGGTGCCACGCGACGTGCATCGAGCACGGGCTAGCTGCATGCTCACAGTTTTTCAGCTTCTGATAACACATGGATTGCGAAAGATGACCTTTGTCGGTGGCTAACTATTGTTTGCGGATTGGTTGCACTCTCCGCAGGCTGTGAAAGACACATCTGCTGCCTTGCACGCAGAAACGGAGAGGGATAAAGGGAAGGAGGGGAGGAAAGACCTGTGCCACACATTCCACACTGCCACAATACCTATCCGCTTATCAAATATTTGTCTGGCCTTCGCTACTTATTTACTTTCCCTCTGTTTGCTTTGCTTATTCAAGTCTCTCTGTGCCAGATACAATGTTACCAAAGACTAGATGCTACAGTCTCTTGTTTTTATGTCTTGGGTTATTCACCTCTTCGCTGTCAGAGGGCACATGGACATTTTCTTTTGTTTTATAGTTTGCTTTCAATTTTCTCTTTCTCACAGCCTCTTTCTAACCGAAAAGTGCATCGTACACTGCCACGCTCTCGCTCATAAATGCGCTAGCGTTCTGGGTTGCTCTGTGCTTCGATGACAAACAGAAGTGGTGTAAATTTGCTCACTGCTCACTCACTCTTCCCACAAACCCTTTGCTGAATGGCCCAGCTCAAAATGTGTATTTGTTCAATATGTTTTTGATTGATTCAGTGATGATGATCTGCACAGTCAGTATTGAGAACACACACACACACATTCAGGAGCACAAAAGGCCTCTTTGTGCTGCTGGCAGGCAGGGTTTGTGAATTGGGGGAGCAGGGTTGAGATTACTCGATTATTTCAAACAGGGGCCCAGGCGAGTCACAGGACCCGGTCCACGCCGCACGGAGCAGGATGGCTGTGGCGACGACGAACCACAACAGAGGCCGAGCCCGAACCCAAAAGCGATGGACTGTAGCCAGAGACAGATACACACCACCGCTGTCACACACTTGCGGTTTTTTAAAAGAAAGCAATTTAGTTAATGATTTCATTCTGAAAGCCTGTCATGATACATGCGTCTGCTCCTGCCAGGAAAAGGAGAGCGGGGCAGAAAGAAGGAAAGAAAGAGAGACGAAGGTGTTAGTCAACATGACTACACTTAAGTTCTAACTGCTTGCGGCTGCTGTGCGGATTGTGTTACCAAATGGAGCAGACCGTCGTAATGCTACGTACCATGTGTCTGACATGGTTGAGGAAGCTCATCACTGACCATAGAGTTTTTTGTTTTTTTTTAGCAAGACTCCAGTCAGATATTTTTCCAGCGTATTGAGAACATTTTTAAGACACTACTGTGCTGTTTTATCTGAAACGGGAGCGTGTGAGTTGGTCAGACACATGGTTTAATAGCAGACGGGTGAGACATTTTCTGTATCAGTTAGCGGCTAATCCAGTAATGTGCCTGCTTTCTGGCCTGGGTACAAATCTACTGCACATTTTTCTGTTCAACCATGCTTGTCAGCTCCTGGTTTTATTAGGCCGTGGTTCAGCGTGTTTCGTATTCACTTTGCCGCTTTTTCCCTGTGCTGCTCCATCTTAGCATTGCTAAAACATCAACGCTTCATGTACTCTCTGACTCAGATTTTCGTGGCAATTACTCAGATCGATGGACGGACTCTTCCTCTCACCTTCTCTTTCTCTTTCTATTTCTTTTTTTTTATATCAGCTGTCAATCATGTGGGGAACTTCTAACCACCTCCTGACAGGCATGAGTGCCAGCCGTTGGTTTAGCAGGGGTTTTTATTCAGCCGCCTTCGTCCGACCTGTCACCACGGCCACACACTGTTGCCCATGCTTTCCATTGAACAGGGGCAAATGAATTAGTTTCAGAGGTTTAAATCAACAATCAATGTCACTTGCCCCAACATAATAAGGCTTAATCGTAGATCTTTGAAATGTGTCCTGGCTGACCTTTGCAATTCGTCAGGCATCTTTACATGGCCTCATCTGGGTGGAGTGAACGTACTGCCCCTGTTTTGATTTTCCAAATGACGTGTCATATGAATTGTGGCCTTTTTGGCATCCAGAAGACTCTCTGATCCCATCTTCCTGCCCTCCTTTGCAATTTCAGAAAAAATGATACATTTCATAATTTGTAATAAAAAAAATTAAATGAGGGGAGAGAACACTGTAGGAGGACAGAGAAAGCATAAAAAGGGAAGTTTAGGCAAAAAAATAAAATAAAATAAACTTTCAGAAGAATTAGGATTGGGGCTAGCGAACTGAACTGTTGTCTACCCAAAAAAAAGCATCCAGAATAGTATAGAGTAGAAGGTATTTCCTTGATTTTTTTTCCTCCACAGAAATCCTATTTATGAGATGAGAATGAAATGGAACAAAACAGCTTTTCTTTTCATAAGACGCTGCAAATTTTCCAATTTGGTTGACTAGTGACTGGCGCGAAAAAAAAAGCTTCCTATTTTTGGAAAAGAAAGGAATTAGGGGGACAGTGGCTGGAGAAAGCAGGGCACTGTGCGCCGGCATTCCAGATGTCCAAACGGCAGTTGTACCAGCCCAAGTTTTTCTAGGCACCGGGTGCCAATGATGACCTCATGAGCTCCAGGCTGAAGGACTGTAGGCATACAGTTCTCGCTGACATGGGCTTGAATAGCCCTCAGCCTTTCATGCATCCATTCATTCTCTCCAGTTCTCTGGCGGCAAAATTACTCCCTCATAATTAGCCATTGTCCCCATTTTTGGTTAGTCTGAAAAAAAGTTTTTTTGGCTAATCACTTTTATGTCCCCCCCCCCACCCCCCATTTTTAACCTTTTCCCTGTCTATCACCCTCCATCTTGTCTAATATGTTTATTGTGAAACTGAATCACCCTCGATCTTGTCTAATATGTTTATTGTGAAACTGAGCAATATACAGCCCCCTTCCTCTGTCTATCTTTAGCATTCTCACTTCATTCTGTCTCTGTCTTCTGTCCTCGTCACAGTGGACTGTGGGAGATTTTACACTCGATTTGTTGACTCCTTTGCTATAAAGTCGGCTGCTCTGAAAAAAGACAGATTTATATCTTTATAAATGACAGAGAGGACCTGTCCCTGAATGGTGCTTTGTTTACTGTTTTTCCAAATGGGGCCCCCACTATATTTCATCTGTCAGAGTTGCTTTTCTTTCCCCCAACAATGCTTGATTTGGTTTCCACCAAAAAAAAAGGACAGAGAGAGGAAAAGGGAGAGAGAGAGAGAAAGAAACAGAAAGTACGAAGAAAAAAAAGAAACCAGGTTCCACAGACAGAGAATTCTGTATTATATTTTCCTGCCAAATTCCGATCTCTGTTTTCCTTCCCGTGCGCTCACAAAGGGCTCATAACTTACTGTCAACTGTGAGGGAAACCACAAAGCTCCACTGTTGTCCAGCAAATAGGCTGTATTGCTTGATGGCTTCACTGGCTGTAAAGTTTGCTTAACTGCTGCACTGACACCAGGAACTTTGGGAACTGCCGCGCCGTAAGGCCCCAAGCGAGGGACGGAGAGAGACGGCGAGCTGCTTTTCTTGTGTCTCGGAATCGTCTGTGACCGTATGGGGACTGAAAGAGACACGCGTGCGAGGGAGACGCTGTGTGTGTGTGTGTGTGTGTGTGTGTGTGTGTGTGTGTGTGTGTGTGTGTGAGCAGAGGAGCTTAACAGCTGCTCTGCCAGTGGCTCCGTTCATGTTTGTGAGTGTACTTCGTTCAGCGTTGCGTCGGATGTGTTCTGACAAGACTAGCCGTGGCTGGGACGAACGGCCTGTCTGTGCTCGAGTGTTTTTGTGTGTGTTTGTGTGTATCAGAATTTGAGGAAGTGTTATGCCATCCAGCTCTGAAGTGGTGTGTGAAGAGCAGAGAAGGACAGGAGCTGCCAAGCAGGCTGAGGGGGACAGTATGTGAGTGTACACACCTGATACACGCTCATTCACACACATAGTGAGGATAGTGACAGGGTGTTTGAGTTGAATAATTTTTTTTCCCTTCATTTTCTTTGAGTAATTCTTATCCAGGCTATGCTTGATGTCTAGAATGCAATTTTAGAAAATACTTTTAGAGAATACTGGTGTTCTCCTTGTCAAATGACTTGTGTGTTGTATTTTAAGTGTTGGATATGGAGAAGAGCAACAGTGGAAAGACAGTGAAGGAGGGAGTGAGTGATGGGTGAAAGGTTTGCAAGGTTAACATTTATGGACTACAATTTAAATGCACAAATTGTTTTTTGATGGCTTTAAAAAGTGAAGGTTTTGCTCAGACGTTTAGAAATGTCTTAGTATCACTATCCATAAGTGTGCTACAATTATTATTTTTTATTTAAATATATTTGTTTTATTGACTTTTATTACTGTTATTTTTATTACTATTATTACACATAACAGTTATATTAATTTATTTGTTTGTTTACTTGTTTGATGGATTTTTAAAAGTGAAGGTATTTCACGGAACATTAGAAGTGTCTTAGTAGTATCACTATCCTTAAGTGTGCTACATTCCTGTCCATTAAATTAGCTTTTATAATAATAATAACAACAACAAAAATGTATAATAATACATTTTAATAATAAAAATAATAATTAGTAGTAGTAGTAACTATTATTTATATTTAGAATGTCTTTATATTTAATTATGTTTTTATTAATTGTTTTTTAATGAGGTTGCTATTATTCAAAATCATAATTTTATTTACTTATAAATCAATTAGTAATTGCCATAAAAGATATCAAAATAGATAAACAATAATTGCTTGTTTTTGAGGAGCTTGTTTTCTATTAATATTACTATACTAGTTCTAAGTCCTAGTTCTGAGAGACGACGTTCTTTCCTTCTGTCTCAGATGATTGTTCACGGATGGGTAGCCTGCTCAGGTACAATGGAAGGTGATAATTTGAAGGTGCTAAACAGCTACAGCAGGGATGATAATTTTCCAGCCCAGGCTTCACAGGTGACAGAGGGTTGATTATAGGAGGTGAAGACCTTGAGAGTCTGTGCCGTCACCTGTGTGAACTGCTGTCAGAGAGACGCTCACACGAAGACACATATGCAAACTCATGCCTCTGTATGTCTCTCACTCTTGTTCTCATTCTCTGTGGGACACCTGTTCATGTGTGTGCAGTCTCTACAGTCGTGTTTAGTATTAATGGGTGAGATTATTATATTCATTTTATGTTTAACATTGTGCTGTTGTTTGTACATAAGTATCAGTGACTTCTTTATTAGTAACCGAATGCTCACCAACCTTTACGACTGCAACAGCTGCTGTTGTAAAAAAAAATGCTGATATTTTGTCAGGGTGTATTTACCATTTTGAATAGCTTTTTTTTTTTTTTTTGGTTTATTTGTTTTGTTAGTGTTGTTTCCTCATTTATTACTCTGTTTACTGTACAGACCGGCACAATTATCTTACAAGCGTATTATTATAAACCTCGCCACAGGAATACTACACAACACACAGTTGCTTGTTTCTTTTGTATTTTTTACGGATATCCTTTCAGACGCAAATGCTTTCTGTTACACTTCGAATAACTGCATTGGAGTGTCCTCTTTCAGATTTATGATTAGCCTTTTAAACTCTCGTTTGAAAAGTTTTTAACTTTCTCCATCCTACCTTTATGTTTCTAATTAGCCTGTATTTTGAAAGTGTGTGCATATGCTCAAGCATGAACATACACATGTGTGCTCGGTCGTGAGAGCATGTGTGTGCGTGTGTGTGTGTTGTTACCCGTGGAAACTTGAAGCCTTGTCATAAAGCAGCTTTTGCCATTTTTCTGCTCACCCATCATTAGCTCCTTCCAACAATGGCCCTTTTGTTTTACCCTCTTTTATTTGATTATTTCTCTTCATATAGGTCTGGGTGGTGGTGCCAGAGCAAAAAGCAACCTTCAAATATTTCCTTTCAGGAGTGGCTGGTGATTTAGGGGGTCTGCAAAGGCCTGTGGTTTTGAGGGGGTGTGGGGTGACCGAGGGGAAGGGAGCAACAGTGACACCGTAGCTTAGGAGTTACTTATCGCCATTGTCTATAAAAGGGCAACAGAAAGACACGGCAGAGACAGAGGAGTGGGGGGCTTCTACAGATTGAGCGGGGCGAAAGCAGATATCCCAAGACACATGGCCCCCAGTCATGAGACCCCCTGAGGAACACCAGCGCGAGGTGTCTTCTAATGCCACTAGCCAATTAAACAGAGGTCAGTGCGTGATGAAACATTAGCAGCGGCAACAATTCATGAGTCGAAGCATTCCAGGCTACATGAGAACTCATGCCGAGAACTTAACTCCTAATCCTCATAAACGTATCGCAATATTGTCAGCTATATATGGGACCTTTCTCTCTCCCTCGGACTGCCAAAAGACAAGCTGTGCTGCCCTACACTTATTGATTGGTTTGGTTTGTTAGCTGTCCATTGTTATTGTGTAATCAGGCCTGAGCGGGAGAGGGCTGACAGGAATTCATATGAGGCCACTCTGGCTTAGCTGATATATTCTCTGCTTAAAATGCACAAAGGCCAACAGATCAGACTTATTTACTGGAGAAACAGGTTGAATTATTAATAAGAATCAAAGGAAGCGCTGCGGTGGCTCGCTGGACTGTTCCGTGAGTGTAAAACAGCATTTAATTTGATGAAATACGATGGCGTCAAGGCTATTTCCCCTCCTCCGTCAAACGCCACGTACTGTAGAACTGAAGCGGGTTTTTGTTTTATGGCTCGTAGGGGGGAATTAAATGATTTTGAAGTGCGCTTCAAGGAAAAATCCATCTAGGAATCAGGCTTTTATTCCAGCTAAACGGCAGCCACATTGTTCCATTCTCAGCCATGGGTGCAGATTAGCCGGGCAGGCCTTTATTCCAGCTAAACGGCAGCCGCATTGTTCCGTTCTCAGCCGTGGGTGCAGATTAGCCGGGTGGATGTGAGTGGGGCAGGGGGTATTATGGTTGGGAGGGATTGAGGGGCAAAACTCATGAACCTGGCACTCAGGGGCTGAGCCGCCCTCCCAGATCTCCTAATGAATTATTAACTCCAACTGACAAATACTGTTACGGGGCCCTGGCTCAGATCGGTTGCGTTTGCGAGTAAAATTGCTGTAGACACATGTTACAGGAGGATGGAGTCAGCCTCTCTCTCCCTCGCTATCATGCCTCAGCAGTTTGACTGATGGCTGGAGACTGGAGGGAAAGGCCTGAGAGGCTGAATATTTCAGAGGTAAAATAATACCACTTGATTTACTGTGTAATACAAAAGAAGTGCTTTGTTTCGCTCGCAGTCCATTGAAGATGAAGGTGGGGGTTGTTGTGCTGGAAGCTCTGGCTCTTTGGATCCATGAATAAAAAATAGAAGCAGAATCGCTCGGTCTCTCATAAGCATGCTTTCTCCTCGTCTAGCTGTCGCACACCCCCTCCGCAAGCCATTCACCACTCTGAACTTTGCTCTTAAATTTGATTTTCAATTAACGCTCTACAATTTTAGAGATCACTTTCTGTTTGATATAATTACAGGAAACAATTTATTGGCTGATTAAAATTGAGGCCTCGGTCTCGCTAAAGAAAATAGGGGCGCGGAGCGGTCTGGGTCTCCGGTGACTTCCTCTGCACTAACTAACAGACACCGCACAGCTGCAGTATCCCGCTTGATTAACTTCCATTGACTTCCATTGTCCACTTCTGTTGGCTGCCGCAGAGCTCATCTAAGACTTTGCGGATGTGTTTGTGTTATTTAAATTTTTTTCGGTAAGCATAACAAAATTATTAATACGGAAGCTAGCATGAGACAATAGCAGCTTGAGTTGTTTTGTTTTTTATTTTTTAAAGCTCACTTACCGAACTGTATTAAACAATTCATATTTAGAGTGTGAGGCTTAAGTGCTCAGCCATGTGTGCAAATTGATGGCACATCTTCAAATGAAGTAGTCATATTTTAAAGGTCCTGAGAGCGATTGGGCCTGACAGCCCGTTGCAACCCACACATCCCTCATGCGCCGAAGAGCACGGCCGCCGCACACACGTGAACAGATTAACTCACAGTTTGGTGTTGAAATAATCTCTCCCGGTGTCAAATTTGTTTTCGTCCCACGATGAGCCACATGCTGGAAAACTTGGCAGGGCTGGGAGATGGAGTTCTGGAGGCACCTTGGGCTGCCTTCATTACCCAGCCTGCCTCTCTCTCATCTCCCCTCAGTCTCAGTGGGCAGTGGAAGGACATTAGCTCACCTGCAGCCTATGACCTAGAATGCCCATGCCCTTTGTCTCAGAGCAGGCAATTTAAAGGCCGGTAGGAAAGTTGTGTCTTGGCTGATTCTCAACTCTCTATATCAGTTGCAGCCTTTTGATTAAGTATTTAAATCAAGTGTTTAATTCGATTAGCAGGTTAAGTTTATCCTTAGCACTTGTTGTAGAGTAATAATTTCATGAATTGTTATCAAATCACAAGTGATCTGTTGATTTATTTTATTTTGTTTTATTTATTTGTGTTTGGTTTTATTTGGTTTATTTTATTTTTATTAATTTTATTTTATTTGGATAAAAGAAGCTTGGTTGAATTTTACACTATATGACATGATGACTTTTGTTTGAAACAAATGAATTTACCAACCCTATTTTTTTTAAATTGGAAATTTGCTATAAATCATTGAAAAGTTACCTCCCATCTGTCACAGCGGCCTACTCGCATTAATGCTAATGTACAATTGCAAAAGCAGAAAAGCACAATTACAACAAAACGAAGGAAAATGGCACATTTATAGACTCAATATGAATGTAATGATCAAAATCCCATTAAGTGTCTGCGTCTCAGCGTCACCGCTCTTTTTGTGGTTGGTGGCAGAGTTAGCGCATTAATGAGAGCGTGTTATATGGTATGGTAACCCTCTTAGTGCGGTAATCAGCTGCGGGGCAGGGGGGATCGGGCCTGCCTCAGGCAGCTCTCCAGCCATAGCTCTGCACGTCCATTTACATTAAACAAAGGATTAAGAGGGACCCCAGTGCATGTCGTTTCTCCCTCACCGAGCTCAGAGAGATAGGATCTCCCCAGCTCTGATACCAGTCCAATCGTGGGGTTAGATGTGGCACAGAGGCTCAGAACAGCAGCCAAGTTCATATATATGTGATGTGAGGGCGCTCATACAGAATGAAAGCCGAGCTCCAGTATTTCCTGTCTGACATTTGCAAGACTGTTTATTCGGAATGAAGTTGTTCCATTGGAATTTTGCATGTTTTGTGACAAACATGTTTCCTCTGCTTTTCTCTCAGCAGAATCATGTCTTCCAAGCAAGCCACCTCTCCATTCGCCTTGACCCCTGATGGAGGCGAGGATGGAGTGAATCAGGAGCACATGTCCTGGGAAAAAGATGAAAACTCAGAGTCATTAGTCGCCCCTCAGCTGCCCCTGCACAATCTGCTCCACAACAAACCTCCCCCGGAGGAGCTCCAGCCAATCAGCAGCAGCGTGCCGCCCGAATCCGACTGGGACAGCCTGATGTTGGCCCAGCAGCGCATGGTGAGCGCCACTACCAGTGTTTCATAGCTCATTTACGTGTGCTAACACAGGCTATGTTTTTAACTTTCTAATGAGGTGTAGATGAAAGATTGCATTATTAAAGATAGTTGGCAGGATAAAAAGAGAACTGTCTGGTCGAGATGATTCGTTTAGAACTGTACGGATATTTTCCATTTGCGACACAATCTTACGACATTAACACAACATGGAGTAAACCTCCACAAATAACACACATCTATTCTCTTAAAGCAAATACACACACACACACACACACACACACACTATACTCCTGCAGAAAGGAATCCTCAACCCAAGGACACAGCTAGAACAGAGCAGGCATGTCTGGAACACTTTTTAAATGAAGACTTAAGGCTTTGCGATTTGCCAAGGACTCGGCTTTGAAGTTTAAGTCCCCCACGAGTGCCTGGAGATCCCTCACACTGTAAAAGTGCAGGAGAACAACGTATTGAATTGCATTTCACGTCAGAGCGATTTTATGAATCTATAAATAAAGGGACAATGAGAAAGCGGGACTAGGAGTGGGAATTTGAGGGAAGTTGAGGGAGCTGCCCCCCTCCTCCGTGGTGGTCTCTCTAGACCGTGAGGCATAGAGCCCAGACGGGAGACTGACAGCCACTTATTGTTCGATGCTTGTAAAAGGGATTTCTCCATAAACCCTCCCTTCACTGCTGCTGCTGGCCCAGAGCTAGGTGACTCCAACTAGCCCCTGAGGTCTGAACTCCCCTGGCCCTGCAGCATCCCGACGCCAAACCCCACTTTAATTAGCCTAAGAATTCTGTTGTCATGAGAGGCTTTTTGCCTTTTCTTGATCTAAATTGCAAGGAGTTTGCATTCCATTAGTGGGAACATCACAACATGTGACACCAAACATATGTTAGGGACAAAAGGATGCACTTTTGCACCCATAGGACAGAAAAATCTGAATTTCTTTGAAATCTCAAATATTTCTCCAAGACAGCAATCAGATTAAATGGAGTTCAAATGGCGAATTTTTCTCCATTAAACAGGTTTTCCTTTATATATATATTTTAGAAATTTGTAGAAATTTAGAAGAGGTCTACACAATGTCTTTATTTATACTCAGATGTGCCACAATATCAAAAGTCAGATTTCAATATGAGCTCTAGGGTTGTGACGGTGAGGAAATTTTCCCACAAGTTAATCGACGTGTGACAACTGGTATCTGGACTGGTATCTGGTATACCAATACTGGTATCACCGCGAGGGCGGGGCGTTCCCTCTTTTCCTCGCTTTCCTTCGCTTTTAAATAGCTTGTAAAAGCGGTGTGCCCATTTTACTTTAACTTTCAAATAGCGGCAATTGTAAAATAGCGGAGTAAAGCAATTGTTCGTTTTTAGTTCGTTTGAATTTTCCCTCTTTTCCTCACTTTCCTTTGCTTTTAAATAGCTTAAAAGCGCCGTGCGCATTTTACTTTTACTTTTACAGTTTAATTGCTTGAATGCAACAACAAAATACAACGTCAAACTCACTTTAGCGTATATATAAAACATAGAACTTTTATTAACAAAACAAATAAAAATACACCATGCTATAGGGCAAGCTATGCCTAATATAAAATAACAAATAACTTACATAAAGTTTAATAGGTATACTGTCTGTTCTTTTACTGAACTAAATGATTTTTATTACTATAAAAAATCAAAATGACGGTGGGGGTCGGTGACGTGGTGGGCAAGTGACGTAACCGGTGTTGATGAGCTCAAACATTTCTAATCAAATAATTTCTGATTTGTCTTATCTCAGACCAATCTGATAAATGTGTATATCAAAAATCTCTGTCTCTTTTTGTTCCTCTAAAGGGAGTTCTGTAAATGTAATAATTAATGATATGATATGATATGATATGAATTATATTATATTATATTATATTATATTATATTATATTATATTATATTATATTATATTATATTATATTATATTATATTATATTATATTATATTATATTATATTATATTATATTATATTATATTATATTATATTATATTATATTATATTATATTATATTATATTATATTATATTGTATTATACTATATTATATTATATAAATCCTCACATGTAAATGCAGAAGGCTTTAGCACTGCTCAGGTGGTGCTGATTCCTAATTGGATAACAGAGCTTTTGTGATAGGTGTAATTAGAAAGACATTTCAAAGAATTGTTACCATACTGCTGCGGTTGGATATGCACGGGATGATCTCTCGGTTTCCTCTTGATATAATGAGGGAAAGCATATGAAAAGTTAATTGTGCTCATTTGATGTTCAAGAGCAGCTGCTTGATTTGCAGTGAGCGATGCATTTGCACTCACTTGTCTTCACAGGAGCAGGACATCCTGTTGTTGAGTGAGGGTTTTTGCTTCAGTGGTGTTGTAGTTTGCTTAAGCTCTCACCTGATAAATACTTCTACACTATACTTTGGATAAAAATGACTGTAAATGTAATGTGAAGTATGTACAAACTCTTTAGTATATTGAGTAATGCATTAAGATGTGGTATGTCATTATAGAAGTGTAGAGACCATAAAATAAAATATATTTATAGAGTGTAAGTAAGAGAGAGAATTTTCTCTGCTGTTGGTGTTCTTGATAATCCTAATGTTGCCTGTCTGCAAGCATTACAATATTTGTGTGCCCAGCAGAAAATGTTATTGCTCAGTTATTTCTCATTCATTTATCAGGAGGCTTAATGAATTTACCAGTTATGTTTAATTTAGATAACAATTTGTTTTAAATGTTTCTATGGGGAGCCATTTCTGCCTCAGAATAAAAAAAAAAAAAGAACTTAATTGACTTAATTCCTCACAATATGACTTTTTCTTATTTTAAACTTTATCTCATAATTGCCTGTTTATTTATTTTTTAATCATTCAAAAGTGTGGGGTTCATTTTTTTAATGTTTTGCTTATGAATGCTGCATTTATTTGATCAAAATACAGTAAAAGGAGGAATACTGTGAAATGTTATTAAATGTAATTATTTCTGTGATGGCAAAGCTGAATATTCAGAAGCCATCCATTCTTCAGTGTCACATGATCCTTCAGAAAAAAAATGTAAGAATTTGATCGGATATGTTTGTGTATATATTAATATCTCTGACTTTGGCAGACTTTAATATCAGATTTTTTTTTTTTTTTGCAGACTTTAATATAAAAATCTTCTTTTACTTTTGTTGTCTTGATCAAAACAATTGAGATATTCAAGGGATCTCATCTGTAAATTTGACTTCATGCATGTGTTAGCAGAGCCCTCCATCAATGCCAGATGATTTGTGGAATTTTATTCCTTGTGGCGCTGCCACAGTGCCACATAATCACACTGCCCTAATGCCCGTCTGTGCCCTGCTCTCCAAAACATACACCTGCCAGTTTTTCTCATTGATGGAGCAAACCTAAGCCAAACTCTTCTCTGTCAGGACTCCCGCTCCACTCACTAATGTGCCTTTGCACTTTATTTTTTACAATCACTCTAGTGTGTAGAATTACTGGGCTCTGTGTAGGATCAGACAAACAGATCGCTTCTCCCTTTCGTTCTGTTTTCCCTCTCTGTGTACTCGCTCGGGGAACACTGAACTATCAGCTGCAGACAGAAGCCCAGTTAACCACTAAACCACACACAGGTGGGACCGCAAAACAACAGCAGCTTGAGACAGGGGCCAGATTTATGATGGCCTGGAGGGTTCCGCGAAGAACAGCCACCCGCTTCAGAACCAACAAATTACACTGCGCTCAAACTCGGCTCAAACATGCACTTGTAACCTTTGCAAAGGAATTACAGCACTGACAATTGTAAAGAGAAAAGGGATGTTAAACACCATTTATCTGCTCTGTAATCATTTAACTTGTGTCCTAAACTCACTTTCTCTATTATAAATGGTACGTCTTTAGCACTTCCCAAATTTTTTAATAGTTTTTCAATTTTAAATGTGAATAAATTGCACATTCAGAGTACTTTTCATTTTCAGCTGATTTTTGAGTATTTTGTTTCAGTTTAATGTCTGTTTTGAGGTCCTCTGAGGGGTTGGCATCATCTCTTCTCAGTTGTTCTGGATCCAGACTGAAGCTTGTGTAAATCCTAGTTACCACGGGATGTGAATCCCGTGGCAAAAACAGAGAAACAATAGAAAAATACATATGTATAGTGTAAGAATTTGGTTATATGAAGGATTTATGCATTTGGGCACAAAGAAGTTGTAGCTTTACAGCAATTAGTTCAGTAAAGTAAAAATCCAGTCCTATGGCTGAAAAGAGAATCTAGGTAATTGATAAAATTTCTTATTTTATTTATTTTTAAATAATTTTAATGAATAGTTTGATGCAGATCATGCCGCAGTGGAGCGAGTACTCTGGGAGAACGATCGAAAAGCAAATACTGGAAAGAAACAGCTGCTGAAACGGTTCCTGTCCTCGTAATTAGTGTAAAGCAGAAACCTATACAATCAAATATCACACACACACACACACACACACACACACACACACACACACTTAGACAGTATTGCTCCTTGGGGAGATACTAGTCTCATTTAAGCAACTGGGGAGCTCTTAGCCCGAAGGAATAAATTAGGCCATAATTCAGTTAAAAGTATTTTTTCCTCACATAGTTTTTTCCCCTCTCCCGTTCTGTGAAGGTCTTCATATTAATTTAATCGGATTTGTTTATGGCCGGTTTCATTATTGCCAAGGGTTAGAGAAATATTTTGAATTAGGACAAATTAAATAAATCTTAGTGAGGAGCTGTCAGTCATGAATATTTTCATATTCATAATTGATATAGAAAATCATGACAGGCCATCCATTATCATAAAGGAGCTTCATTTTGGGGGGCAGTGTGATGAAATAATTTAACATCAATTTAAATTTCTGTGAACTGATTTAAGATTTTTTTTCTAAAAAATATTTCCACCTATAATTTGCCTGTCTGTCAATTAAGGTGCTCTGTTAAACAAAATGCAGTTTTGGAAATACCGCTTAAAGTGACTTGCTGTATAACGTTTAACTGGGGGTGGGGGGGGGATTCATCTTTTGATGTGATTTTTATTCCTCCTTTTTCTCACCTCTCATGCATCTCCAGCTTAATGGTGACCAGAGATAGTATGAAGGGCTTGTGCTGTCCTCATAGGTTTCTCCTGTTGTTTCTAGTAGGGTATTTTTTAAGATGTGCTCTCAGCCGTCTGTGTAATAGGGTGCTATGCTAATGAGCCCCAGCTGGTATGGCCGGTTGCTGCAGTAATTTAAATGGTCAAGTGCAGCTCATAATCCTGAAGGCCCGTATGTTTAGTGCAGGAAGGAGAGGGTGCTTCACTTCTAGTGTACAGCTGTGTTAATCTGCCCTTAATAATGGTGACAGAGCCGACCTCATGCCTCTACGCCTCACACCACAATCTCCCCCGTTACACAGAAATTAGTTCCTGAGCTCGAGAGAGACGAGAGGCATGCAGAGTTCAATACGTTAGCTCCGAGATGCTGGAATGGAGCGGTTCTGCGTCCTTGAGGACGTCTCAGTTTGGTGCAGCTGTAAGGGGAATCTTCAAGTCCGCAGTACCTCAAATGTCAGGATTAACCCCTTGCGCGACTCCGAAAGCAATTGAGAGAGCCATGTGTTGTCTTAACGACAAAGCATGTCGTTATGTTATGAGAAGCAAAGAATGGATGAGCTAAAAATATCACTCATCTCAGTCTCTTATTAAGGGAACAACTGTAACCTTTCATTACCTTGCTTGGCTAACTGGCTTAAGGTGTGGTCAAACTAGAAGTGCGTCTGACATCGTGTACTGCATTTGATGGACAACAGACGTAGCAAGTCATTCAAATATTGTTCACCTACTGTTTTAAAATATTGAACGTTTGAACATATTACCCATCTGGTGTAGTGTTGTTTCATACTATATAGTAGGGAAGTGTGGTAGGTTTTAACCCCACAACAGGAAATAATGAAACAATTTATGAATAAAAAAAAAAGATAAATATCAATAACATGTAATAATAAAAGTTAACAAGTAATCTCCTCAAATTTGCTGTAACATTGCAAACCAAATAATCTCAAATCCACAGGGCAAAATGTACAAACTTGCAGTAGCAGAAAATGAAACTACTGGCACGTCTGTTCTTTGTTTGAACACACTTTTAAATCACTGCCATTGCCAAGCTAAATGTAACCATCTCCTTCCAATATTCCAACAAACACTGGCTCTTGCGATCGCTTTGGGTCATAAGGTTTCCTCCTTTGAGAATTGTATTGTGTAGGCAGCACATACTGCAGTCATGTGTAATGCTTTGTTCGTAAAACAGTATCTTTTGATTTTAGTCAAGTAGCGATATATTGGGACATACTTGAAAGGATGCATTCATATAGGAGCACACTGTATTTCATACCCATCTTTACGCGCACTTAATTGAATGTGGCCCTAAGAGTCAACCGCTCTCAAATTCAATCAGACCTATTACAATCGTACCACAAGTCAGTGAAACTGGACTGTCATCTCCATCTCTCCTCTCACTAACAATCCTTAAAGTGCCTTAAGTGCTTGTGACCGCTCTAATGAATGAAAATATCCTGCCTAGAGGACTGTATTAAGCTGAATAGTCACCTTCGCTGTAAAAGCGCCACACGAACCACCTCATCCACCAAGGAGGTCTTGGGATTTTTCTGTAACTGGTATTGTAAAACATTATTTATTGAGAGCTCTCTGGTGCTTGTTCATAGTTTAAAATGATTAATTATAGAGGAAAAAAGCTAAATAAAAATAAAGTAAAATAAACAGGACAAACGAAAAAATTAGTGTCCATTATAAAGATTCAAGGTGACCTTGTCTGGGATTCACAAGCAATTAAGGCCCTTTTTATGAAATATACTTAAGTAATGAACTTTGATATATGAATCCTTCACTGGGCTGGTTATTTTCATTGTTGCAGTTATGTGGTATTCTTCCGGCTCTTTTATGAACACTCCTTTTTTAGTGGGGTGATTCTTTGACCTCTATTTGGATGAACTGCACTCACCCTAATTCAACCTTGCATTGATTTGTTTGCAGTGTAATGCTCCAAATATCTGATTTGTACATTGAGCAGCATGCTTAGACACGGCTCATTCTCTCTCACCGACTTACTCAACATTTTATATGGGGTTAGTAAAGCATTGCTTTATTATATTATATTCTTTTATGTTTAATTCATTTTATTACTTTTTTGGTAATCAGCCATAACACAAAAATAATTATTTGACTCTCTGTAGTGAACAGAATTTTAATATTGATGCATCCCAAGTTTTCTTTTTACTTTAACATTCCCACATCACTTAGGAGCATACGGAAAGATCTAGAAACAAGCATCCACACCTAGTCAAGAAGGCACGCTGCCTAGTGCTCTAGTTTGGGCACCAGTGAACCAATGGCACTGCCAACTTAGTCAGCAGTCTTGTATTGGCAGGATTGGCCATGGCTGCTGGTAACAGCTTGTTAGCTGCTAATCCACGCTTAGAGCCCTGTTCGTCTGAATGCCAGCATTACATTTTGCAGGCCGTTTGGTGGCAGGGGTTCAGTTTGGTGGCTGAAAAATAGACCATCCACGCAGCCTGTCATTCCTCTGTAATGTCAATTCAGTGTGCACTGCATCTGCTGAAGACCACACACGAAAGCTATCAGTTTTAAATTATGCGTTTTACTTTGTTTATAGAAAATCAGCTTGTTTGCCAGAACAATTTCCATAGTCCTCATAGAATGGTTAAAAGACATATTCCCTCATAAAAGCATTGAAACATGCTCTTTCTAATTTTCTTGGGTCAGTGTCCCTGCACAGTTGCTCAACCCTGTGCACCCCTGCACCCTTTTTTCCCCTGTAAATGTGAAAGGGCAAGGTTGTTAGCCACATTTAGAAATATGTCAGAGTCAACAGGTGTAAAAAAGGCACTTTCTGAAAACGAGTGAATTACACCAGCAGGAGTGACCCGGGTGACAACAGGAACAGTTGCTAATGAGGCATGGATGAGGACTTTGTCTGAGGTGGTAACCCTGAGACCTCTGAGGGGGCAGAGGAGAGGCGAGGTTAGCAAACAGCTCTGTACACCTGGAGCTTTGTGTATTGAGTCAGAGTTAATGAGTTTAGCAGGGGGGCAGATTCTTCAGTGCCTCCATCCCACGTAAAGCCTGATCTCTGGGGCAGGGGGATATTTCCAGAGCCCCCCCGCCCTGCGGGCCATTTCAAACAGCAGGTAAGCGCCGGTGTGCATCTGAATAACAGCTGTGTGTGTGTGTTACCTTCCTGATCTACTCTATGGGGGCTATCTGTCCTCAAAATCTCCTTTGAGGCACTGCCCAATACCGCCAGGCAGCATGTGTCTTTTCCCCATCGAGATCAGGAGATTGATGGGTTTGGGCAGTGGGAGAATTAAGTGCAGAAAGCTGTTTTACCGCATGCCATTTCAGTTGCATTTTTATGACCCTCTTGAAAGGGTTCTTGTTGAAATAGCAGAGGGGCTAGCTTTGCTCTCCAGCTCTCTGGCTGCCCTGTCATCTACTTTTGATTTCTATTCCACCTAATTAATAACAATCTTTGTTGTAATGATACGTGGCACTGGCCCTAGACTTGGTGCATACTCAATGAGGTCGACCTTTTTAATTTATTGACTAGTGTTTGGACCAAACCTGAGATCTGGAAGCGTGCTTCAAACGCGACGTTCCATCGCTCTGTTATGTCAGTCCACCAGTCCCTCAGGCAGAGTACACTAGGCCAAACATCAGTCGTTGGAAGTTTTCTCGCCTCTTGCACGTTTCTTTCTACCTTCAGCCAAATTTCTTGTCTGAATGAAAGCATATGGGTTTGATTAATCCAAGTGTTCTCGTACACGTGTCAAAATATGTTAGTTACTCTTTAGAGTGATGTGTGGATCTCAGGAGTTGGCAGGTAAGATAGTGTGCAGGTAAGTTGGTAGCTCAGTAAAGAGCAAGATCTGGCCCATCACTTTTGTTTGAATAGGTAATGTAAATCTGCTGGGGTTGAGCAGACATGCTGGAATGGCTTGTTAGGACACATGATCAAAAGCTCATCTCCCTGCTTTCCGCTCCTTGCCAGTCAACTCTCTTGTCACCCTGTGAGGCAGATGTTAAATAGTTTTTTTTTTTTACATTGTGGGCATTCTGCCACTCTCTGGACTTTGACAAAAATGATAGCTCCCACTCCTCCTGTCTTTCCCCTAAGAGAGAAAGCTGTGCTACTGACAAGCCTTCAGCACCAAAAAAAGAAAGAAAGAAAAAAAGGGAAGATATACTGATACAAACAGACTCTGGCAGCTCTGTTCAATACCTATCAAAACCCTCCGCAGCCTGTATGCTTCATATCAAACATCCATATTATAAACACGCTTCCCCTCCTGACTGCCTAGTGCAGACCTCCAAAACTCTGTCCATACTCCAAATAGAGTGCTCCTCTTTCAGATGACAAAACAAGCAGCTGCTTCTGCCTCACTGTGCCATTCTTCTGCATCCGTATCACCTTCCCTCTTCTCAGATTCCCATTAGTCAACAGTACCAACTGCTGCAGAGCATTCCAGGAGCCATCTTCTCTCTGGAGCTCAGCTGTTGACTCTGTCCCTCTTGTGTGGGACCAAGCACAACGCTTCCATTGTGACGGTCTCTGTCATTGAGCTGGGGCTCTCCTGATAGGAGGAAACGGGTGTTTCAGTGAGACAAATCAAAGCCAGGGCTCCTGAACAAAGCTCCATTTGTCCTCCATCTCACACCATAGGTACGTCTCCTCAGCCGTGAATGAGACTTTCTTACACTGCACTTCATATACCTTAAAGTATTGTATGCATCACAATAACATACCTTGGCATATAAGTGTGCACTAATGCATGTAAAAAAACAAAAAAAACAAATGTTATATTATTATAAATACAACACATTATAAATTAAAGGTATTTTGTGTGTCATCTAAATTTTCAGTAATTTTTTCCCAATTTTTTTTAAAATTTACAACAAATATTCAAAATGCTTTTAATTTGCATATTGTTTTGTATTTCTAATAGCACATTGTTGATGTTAGGGATTATAGTAAATAATGTATAATCCCTAAATGAATATATGTAAATTAAATATGTAAATTAAAGGGATTTTGTGTTTCGTTAAAGGGGTCATATGATGTTGCTAAAAAGAACATTATTTTGTGTATTTGGTGTAATGAAATGTGTTTATGCGGTTTAAGGTTAAAAAAACATCATTTTCCACATACTGTACATTATTGTTTCTCCTCTATGCCCCGCCTTTCTGAAACGCGTCGATTTTTACAAAGCTCATCGGTCTGAAAA